CTAAGTTGCTCTCCGCATTCCCAGGCTGGAATTCTCCCTGGCTGCCCATCCTGAGACCGTGTATGATGTGCGCGAGTCCAGCGCGCTCAAGAGACAGTAGCTCCTTGTTGCTGTCTGCGCAGTCAGCACAGCTCCTGGGCCATGAACAACACTGTGGTTTTGCTGCGACTGAATCGTTGCTGACTTCGTCAGTGATCCCAGCTCATAAAAATGCTCTGATTTGTTGCAGTGGGCTCATGTGGGCACAGCACGTCTGCCCTGCCCAGGCAGAGATGCTTGTGGTTTGTGGCCATGTGGCCTGTGGCCTTCTGACAGGGGTTTACCAAGCTGCGAAAATTTGTGGAGGGCAGGCAGCTATTGTGGTTTTTGGCATGGAAGGGTTGGTGAAACCTCTGTGTTATCTCAAATATGTTTTGATGCATCTCCTGCATGCCCAAAGCCATTGCCTTGTGACCCAGTACAGACAGCACTGGACCTTCAGTACTCCTGAGATGGTACAAGCTGCAGGCCCCAATCGAGCAGTGATTCTCCTTGTGAATCTAGGAATAAAAAGCAGCATCACAAATATGTCCTAACCCAGCACTGAGCTAGGAGGATGTCTAAGTGTTGTATGCCCCTGAGGAACAGAGCAGTGCTGCAAACCAGGGGAAGGGCAGCTGCACAAGGGGGAGGAAGTCACGCAGACCTTCCTCCTCCTGCGTGCGTCACTGCGGGGGCCTGGGCAGTGCCCCACGGCCGTGGTTTGCAGCACAGTGACTGGGGTGGGCAAGTTGCTGGTGCCCTCTGGTTGCTTGCGAGTATCCAGTGATAATCCCATGATTAATGCCATGTTCTGAGAGGTGGTGAGTCCCTGCTGTGCTGGGCAGGCATCGTCTAGGCCTTCTGCTTGGCTGCTAAGCCCAGAGATGAATGGGAGCAAAACCTAATGGGTGTAATTTCAAGATGATAAAGGCAGAGCAGGGTGGTTTGGAAAAGCGCTTCGTGCCTGTGACATGACAGCTGCCGTATGGAGAGAGCTTTCCTGCCCTGGGAGTGTTTCCCTGCTCTCATGCTTGTTTTTATCAGTCACTAGGAACCTACAACTTCTGTGTTCACCTTCCATCAGCTTCTGGTTGGTGGTTAGATGGTCTCTTGAGTTGCTCCAAGAGACCTGTGGCTCTTACAGCTGCAGCAGGAGATGTGGCTGGGAGAGAGGCAGGAGCACAGTGGGAATCCGTGTCCTTCCCTGCGCGCAGGCAGGAACGCGCTCGGCAGCCACGCGCCCAGACGCAGGTTCCTCTCACACCACTGATGTTGACATCTTATGACTTTATTATATGTGCCCAGATACTAAACCCCTAGCTTCTAGAATTCCGTGATTTTATGAGATTATCAGCTTTTCTTTGTTTCATATGAATTAGTTTTCAGTTTCTATGGCTGCATAGAAAAGCTGGAAAGTAGGCCTTATAAGCATCCCAAATGTGAAATTTAAATGATTTCTATGTTAACGCCAAGCTCTTGCTGGGAGGGATGCTAGCAATTGATAAATACACAAATGCTTCTTTATTTGGGACTTTCGTCAAAATCAGGAAGGTTTTCACCACAGAATTGCTGTAAGGTCCAGAGCACAAGCGACCTTGTCCAAGCAGAGCCCAAAAAGAGCCTGTGCTGAGCAGCAGAGATAGAGCTGCCCCTCGGGCACGCGGACGCCCCTTGGCCGGGATTACAGTGTGCGCTCAGGTTTGGGTGCAGCTTTTGGGACCCCTCAGCCTTTTGGGCACGCAGGCGGGAGCAGCGCGCGGCGCCCAGCCCGGGCCTCCTCGCAGCTCTGCTC